TGTATTTCTTAAGGGTCAGATGTGACTTCATCTTTTGTGTTTCTGATTGTGCTTATTTGGGTTTTTTCTCTTTTTTCTTGGTCAGTCTAGTTAGGGACCATCGATCTTGTTTATCCTTTCAAAGAACCAGCTTTTTGTTTCATTGATTTTTTGTATTATCTTTTTGTCTTCTATGTCCTGGATTTGGGCTTTTATTTTGGTGATCTGGATTCTTCTGCTTAAATTAGGGCTTTTGTGGTCTTGCTTTTCCAGCTTCCTTAGGTGGCTTGTTAGGCTGTTAATTTGTGTTCCTTCCATTTTCTTCATGTGTGTTTGTAGGGATATAAATTCACCTCTTACTACAGCTTTTAAGGCATCCCAGAGATTTTGGTAAGAAGTTTCTTCATTTTCGTTTGTTTCCAGGTATCTTTTGATCTCTGTTTTGATTTCATCATTGACCCAGGAGTTGTTTAGCATCATGCTGTTTAATGTTCATGTCTTTGTGGGTTTGGGGGGACCTTGGTGTTGTTAATGTTTATTTTTATTCCACTGTGGTCTGAGAAGGTGCATGGTAGAATTTCGGTACTTTTAAATTTGCTTATGCTTGATTTATGGCCAATTATGTGGTCGATCTTAGAATACGTTCCATGCGGTGATGAGTAGAATGTGTATTCCGTGGTCGTTGGATGGAGTGTTCTGTAGGTATCACTTAAGTCCATTTGGTCCAGAGTCACATTGAGATTCCGGATTTCCTTGCTGATTTTTTGTCCTGATGATCTGTCTAGGGTTGTGAGTGGGGTATTAAAGTCCCCAGTTATGATGGTGTTAGAGTCAATATCTTTCTTTAGTTTTCCTAGAAGTTGCGTTATGAAAGTTGGTGCACCTATGTTGGGTGTATATATGTTTAGGATAGATATTTCTTGTTGATGGACTGAATCTTTTATCATTATGTAGTGGCCCTCTGTATCTTTTTAAATTTTTGATAGCTTAAATGGTATTTTGTCTGAAATTAGAATCGTGACTCCTCCTTTCTTTTGTGTTCCATTCACCTGAAAATTTGTTTCCCATCCTCTTACTTTGAGTCTATGTATGTCCTTTCTAGTGAGATGGGTCTCTTGAAGGCAGTATATTGTTGACTGGTGATATTTTATCCATTTTGCCATTCTATGTCTTTTCAGTG